ATATTTGCTGAACTTTTTAGGTTTATCGTTATAACGTGTGTATATTTGCAATAGATGTAGCCTTAATCAGGGACCTAACATTTGAAATATGATCTGTAAGAAGAAACATATTTTTTAGCAGAAGTAATAAAAAGAAATTTTCCATTATGAAGTATAGGAAAACAAGTGAATTAGAATTGTTACATAGTATAAGTTATTCTGCCTTAGATATACATGTTAGGATATGTTGTCGATGTAAAGCTAACACTGAGAATTTAAATATGTTTCATTTCATGAATGATACGTTGTCCGAGATTAGATACGATGTTACGCCCTAGCAAATATCTCTATGAATACTAAAACGCATTCTCTGATTCCCGGGTAATGTATCATTCAGAAGTTAGAGCTTGTCTTTACTTATCTTTAAATATTATCAAATTCTGATATTTTTTAACAAGGATTTATTTTATATTTCATTTACTAATGAATTTTTCTTCTACTCACCAGAAGAGATCTCCGTTAGTTGATATTTAATAATTCGATTATTTCGGCTATCAGTATGAAATATATTTCCAAGACTATCAAAACTCATCGAATATGGATAAAGTCTTTGACGAGATTCAGTATCTCCTTCATAACATCCAATTAAACATCGAAAACCACATGGTCCTTCTCCAACAATTCGATTATAATATTCTTCTACAATAAATAAATATTTCTTAGCATCCAATGTAATTCCAGTAGGCATATAGAGTTCAATAGTTGGACGTGTTGATTGACGACCAGCAACAGTGATGGCATTTGTTTCTCCAAATAGAAAGAGTTGAATCCGATTATTGCCACTATCTGCTACAAATAAATCAAAGTTAACATCAACAAAGATTCCGCAAGGATAAATAAGCTGATTTGAATCAGATCCAGGTCCATTCATTCCAGCAACAACTATCTGATTTTTTGGACTTTTCAAGTTTCTTTTAAATACTACATTGCCACTGCTCATTGAACAATATATATTATCATCGATATCGATAAAGATGTCGTCACATTGGTATGAAAACTTGCAGGCCAGAGTAAAAGCATTTGTTTCAGAGATCCATCTCATTATAAATGTAGAACCTTGGGTCAAATGTGCACTAACATAAATATCACCATTCGTTGTTACGAATATAGATTTAAGATCTCCGAAATTGGCTGAAATGTTTTGCGTTGGATTGATACTATTGTTATGCCATACGAAAATTCGTTTCTTCTCTTCACTAAGGATATAAACTAAATTTTTTGTATCAATAACAATATCACTGCGCATCACACCAAGAATCGATTCGTTAGCAAATATTATTCCATTACGATTCCAAGTTGCTACGGTAGATAAATTTGGTTGATTGAATGAAACAGCTAAATTATATAATAAGAAAAGAGTTTTTCAATGTATCGTAACAGGAATGCTATGTTTTTGGTCTACAGACACTTTCGTCGACACGCACTTCGTCTAAAGACATTTTGTCTACAAACACTTAGTCGACAAGACATTTAGTCGACTATGAATTTGGTCGACAGTACAGGTCATACACAAAACATTCAGATAAAATTTATTTCATCGAACGATTCATATTATCTTGCGTCTCAGGTCGGTTATTGCTGAAAAAGAAGTTGAATAGGCTCTCAATAAAAATGTTTTGCATCGTCATCATTGAACAATCAGTAAGAACAATATAAAACTAATGATATTTATATTTCTTTTCTGTTTCAAATAACTAACTGTAAGTGTTCTATTTTTAACAACGTATTCATTATAAGTACAGTAGTAGATGATAATTTTCTTCTGTATCTTGCATTACTAGTCGAAGATGGCTTCTCCTGTTTTGAAATTTTCCACAACGTCTAAAGAAAAACCACTCTTAGTCTATGACACTTTTACATATACATTAAACGTGGAAAGAAATAACGTCAAGTATTGGCGATGCCAAGACCGAAATTGTTCTGCTCGTATTCAAACTGAGACACAGAAGACTTTTAAAGACCGTAGTG